TCTACCATTAAAAGCAACAGAGATATTTTAAATACAAATCTCAATGATTTTGTAACAGTAATTCCTCCCAAGGTCACCCGAAGGTCAACATATCATACACATTTGAATTCGTCTTTGTATCTGCTACAATACTACAGTAAAGAAAATATCTCATCCCATTTAAAAAAAAATATTGACCTTCAAAGTGACCTTCGAATTTCACCAAAAAAACGACCTGGAGATACTTCTCGCGCAGATGGTAATATTGCTCCTTCGAAACTGAAACGGTTTTATTCGAACTATTTCTTCGTATCGTTTAAAGCAACGGAGATATTAATTAACGGAGATAGCGGTCAGCTTAGTTGAGGACACCCTGTATACAAGGTTGTCGAGAGTAATTCGTCTCGGATCTCGCTGTTAATTATTATACATGTTAAATTTGAATACCTGCCGATAAGACGACCGTAATCGCTCTCCCCATGAAGTTTCCTCGATGGCATTCTTTTTATTTACGTACACGATTTCTTTTTGATTTTTTCTTCGGTGCCAAGACTTATCAACGCGAGAGTATTCAATTATCGTTGGTACATGCTATTTGTCGTAAAGTCGGGCGATACATAAATTATGCGTGCAATTATCCCATTGTCCACGGCTCTCGACACTTCCGTTAAAGGACACCTATTTTTAATGTTTCGGAGGAATTTGAATAGAATTTTACAATTTTTTGAATTTTCGTCTTTTTGACAACAAACTTTTGCATCGAAGCTTTCTCAATTTCGATGCAACAAATTTTACAACGAATCTCGATTTAGTTGCAATTTTATCATATATTTGTTGTAGACTCTAAAACGAAGAACAACTAAAATATTTACAATGTGGATTTTTAATTGAAGAGTCTGAAAAAATTCTGAAAAATATCCCCACTTTTCTAACGTGTCTCAGATTTTTCCCAACATTTGTCAAAATAATGTAAGAGAAATAATTTAAGAAAATAGAGGAGAAATTGTGTAAAAATCTGTTTTTAGTTTTTTGCCCTTTAAGGCAATTGTTAGTTAATTGTTAGTTCTTTTTTAGAATTTTTTCTAACTATAAGGAATTTTTATAATTGGTTTTGCAAACATATTTATTCACATTTTGAGAATATACACAATTTTGTTTGCAAGTAAAAATAATCAAAATTGAACGTAGTAGTACAAGTGATATTGTGCAGTCCCTCCTGAAAAAAATTATATTCACTTTAAAATATGAATATTGATTTTTTATATTTTTCTTGTTATTGGAATATTAAAAACAAAAATATTTAGGATAATCAAATTTTGAAAACCGTGGTTCAGACGATAAAGTCATATCCTGAAGATTAGCTATGTGAAGCTGGCACTTGACTTTTCAAAAATGAATTTTTTTTTATAGAAAATGAAAGTATTTCGTTTGTACTTGATTGTATCACCAATAGTTTCGTTTGTATCTTCATTAATTAATAATTAAAAAAAATTCAAAAAATGGTCAGCACCCGATATTGAGATTTTTGAAATCTGTTTTTTCCCTATTCTTTAGAATCGTTTGTGCCCGTTTGTA